CACTCCCAACTCATATTTTGAACATGAAACCCAAGCTGTTCAGTACTGTCTAACCATGGTCTAACACAAATACAAAGAATACTCACATATGACTGATCCTAAGGATAAACATGCAATTACTTATGGAAATGAACTGTGCACCTTTTATCATAGTGACAGTCTTGTGGCAGACTGTTTATGTTAACCCATGAATAACCAAGTGACTCTCACATGTATAAACTCTGCATATTTCATTGTTTTAATGTGAATCATGACATTAAAATATATTTCTGATATGTGAAACCAAACCCATTCATGAGATTTTGAAAACAAGCATGTATCTCTGTGCTTTATTATTCATATTATGTGTACAGTGAATAAGTGTTTGTCAAACTACCGGGTCTACAATTTATGCTGTAACGGCCTTGCTTGCGTTGCGTGGTCGGCTGGCGATCTGGTGACGTCGGCCGGACTGGTCCGTGTTCTTCCCGTGAACACAGGCGAATCAGTTTCATTGCGTCTCTCGTCGCGGATTGACGTTGATAATATGGTGTACAGTATTAAGCAACGTGTGTTCTTAGTCGAAACATATGCCAAATATTCATCCTACGGAAGATGCCGCCGTAAATATCGCAGACATTTTCCCGGTGAAAGTGTTCCTAGCAGGCCCACGATAGAGAGATTAATAAAAAAAATTTGTAGTACGGGATCAGTTTTGGATAAAAAGAAGAACAGGAAACCACAATTCATTTCGGCAATTTCCCAAGAAGAGCTTCGTCAAGTATTTCGAAACATGTTAACGAGATGTGAAGCTTGCCTGCAAGCACAAGGAAGTCACTTTGAACATCTTTTGTGATTTAAGGTAAGAAAATTAATGTAATAACATGTGTTAGTGACGAGAAATATTCGTAGTTCGCTGTTACTAGCGGCACTGAAACTGATTCGCCTGTGACTCACGGGAATAACACGCGCCAGCCTGCCGACGTCAACAGTGCACTCGGTCGAGCACGCAATGCAAGCAAGGCCGTTACAGCATAAATTGTAGACCCGGTATATGTGTTAAAATATGCAATGACAACAACTGCATACTTATGCCCAATCACTCAACAAATTATTTAATACTATATTTCAAGATAGGGTTAACTTGCTTCCCTCCGTTGGACGACTTGCCATTCCCGATGGTCTTTCACCTGTAGTTCATTTATCTTGCGTCTCCCCCACTGGAACCACAACCAACCAATCACAGTACATAGTGTGGTCTCCACAAAGTAGCCATCTACAAAAGTAGTGCATGAGCCTCCAGCTTTCAAACATGCCTGAAGTAAATTAAAATACGAAGTTCCTTGTTAGAAACAAAGAAAGTATAACACAATATCCGAAAACTATACTACACCTGTGACATATCAGATTCTTATGGTGTCAAAAAGCAGAAGAGCAACATCAATATAGAACATGCTTACTTTCTATCAGATCAAGTTCACTGCATGAATAAACATATAAAATACTAATTATACGAATCATTCTCTATTTGCCTTCTTTAAAACTGATGTGTATAACAAATGAAAAAGCTATACCTCTGTCTCTTGTGTTGTTATGCATGTGTTGTTTTGAATGCTGGGTGCAGAGCACTGTTTAAATGTAAGACTGTCTACCATCCAGAGTGCAAGTGTACCAGGCCAATTTCCTCCGAGGTTTGATAAGGTATTCAGAAGAGTCATATATGTTCCTCCTACCGCAGGGTCACTTATTCTTGCAAAGAAAGCCATCACAGCCACAAACATACTATAAAGCGTAACCTGTTGAAATAGAAATAAACATCACCAATCATGTTCTGAAATAACATGTAAAGATCTCACTACAAAATTACTGTTCTACAGTAATTTCAGACTGCTTTCAAATCCATTACTTCAACATCCCTTTCATGAATACCATCCAGAGAGTAAAGAAGACTATTTCAATCTAATACCAAGGTTAAGAGGTTAAGAGTATCTGCAGCTTTGTTTAAAAATCCTAAATACATAACACAAACTGGAGCTACAGCAACCTGTCCTGTAACTTTTATCTATGAGCACGGTGCAAGAAGTGGCTGGTATAGATACCCACATTACTAAACAACAGAAACGTTTATAGACAGACAGAGTGATAACTGATTACACTTGTATTTACCTGGTGTAGTGAGTAAATGAGGATGAGAGCTACATAATAGTATATTGGAATGTTACCATTTTGTATTACAAATGGAGTTATCCATACTAAACCTGCTGCTACGATGCTAAATAATAACCTGCAATGAGAAAAATAAATGATAATCACATAAATTACCTGTTATGTGTAGACACTTACAAGATTCAATAGGGTAATAAACCAACACAAGGCTTTCTCAGATAGTTTTTTTGCAGTAGGGGTAATATGAAGGCAGAAAATAAAACTATGATGAGGAACAACATCTTGCCCAATGTGAGTAGAAATGCGAGCCATAACAACAATGAATACCACAACATAATTAATAATGATAAAATATAAGGATACAATTCTAGAATATGTATTTCTTTATATTACTTACCTATAAGGAAATGCAGATATATAAATATTCATAGGCCTTGGGCCAACAGTATATTTACTAATAGCAAGAGGCAGTATTATTTGTAATGGAACTAGGGGCACAGCCATCAATGCTAACTTCTCTTTTGGAAAGCCTGCATCAATCATCTTCAAACTAGTCACTGCATCACAAGCACTGAATCCAACCTAAATAAAACAGTAAACAAATAACAAGTAATGCATTATTATTTAGACAAATATATCTTGTTTTGATCACAATAAGTGAACTATAACTACTACACCAAACATCAGGAAACAACAAAAATAACAAAGATGCTGAAAACATGCTACAAGTTGTAATTATAGAGATGGAAAAGTGGAAAAAGTAAATCCATTTTATTCTATAAACAGTTTAATAAGTATGTTCTTACTTTGCTTGTAAGAAGTATTATCGCAGTTGTACGTATAGAAGGCAATCGTGTAATGTTCCATAACAAGCGATATGTTTGTGCAACTCCCAAGTAGGGTTCTGCTTCTATGAGTCTCTCTGTAGAGGAATATTCTTTCTTGAAGACTGCTATTAAAGTTGTTGAAAGCAGGAAAACAATACCCCAAAAATACAAGAAACCTACAACGCAAGAATAAGATACACTAAATGTTACATCTCTATACTGCAGATAGAAAAATCATTAAAACACACATACTCAATGTGTATGCACAATAAAAATATGAAACTGATATAGCATACATGCATATTTGCATTGACACGTATTTTCAAGTGTTTAGTCATAAATGCTCACAATAGGGAAATTATTGGTTCATGCACAGTCCACAGAAAAATATACTTTCACTTACAGTCAAACGGTTAAGAGTATGTGATGAAATGAAGTTGATAAAAATAAGCAAATGTACTATACAATGACATGACTTACACATAATGTGGTCTACATTACATTAAAAATACTTGACCAATATTAATAATTTTGTTTCATACATATCCCTACATCTAAAATGAAGATCATCAACTCTACCTGGTAAAGTGACAATTCCATGTGGCAATGGATCTTTTCGCAAGTATGCATTGCAAAATTCAGCTGACTCCAGTCCCACAAAAATTACATAACCCAGGAAGTACCCTGCAGTCTGACCAACACTGTTACATGTTGATGCGTGACCCACATTGCGCCTTAAAACAGGAAACATAATTGACAGTATTAGTAAAGAAGTCATATAACTAACTAGATGGCTTACAGAACCCAAAGGTTCATCACTGAACTCACAAATGCCCTCCGCTGGACCCTGTCCTGGGCCAACAAAATCCATTCTCCTTCTACCCCTATCACCCATAGATCCTGCTTGAGATTATCCTCCCATCTACGTCTAGGTCTCCCCAGTGTTCTCTTCCCCTCAGGCTTCCCAACCAATACCCGGTGCACACCTCTTGTCACATCCATGCGTGCCACATGCCCTGCCCATCTCATTATTCTTTCTTAATCACCCTGACAGTATTGGGGGAGGAGTACAGATTTTTAAGTTCATCATTATGCAGTTTTCTCCATGCCCCATCGTCTTCTCTCCTAGGCCCAAATATCCTCCTAAACGCCCTATTCTCAAACACCTGCAATCTATGTTCCTCCCTCAGAGTGAGAGACCAAAAGAAGTCATATACCATACCCAAAATGTTATAAAATAAATAGCAGGGGCAAGACATTTTTATTCTACACTGTGACAAAACCAAGTCTGTGGTCCACCAAGGCTCCTAGCCAATGGCTTTCCCCCACATGCTACCTTCTTTGACAACTCTAGTCTGGATGAGAATAATTTCAAGTGCTACGAAAATTTCTTGTTTCTAAATTTTATTAATCTTACCTTTGGAGCATTGTGAGTGCCCACCCATCAACAGCAATATCTTGTGTTGCTGCCAGAAAGTTCAGGCAAAAGAAGCAGAAAGTAAGGATAGCAATGTTCGGTGTATGTGTGATGGAATGATCAATACCCAACCAATCTTCAACTTTTCCAGATAGGAAAATCATAAAAAATCCAATAAGATATTGTGCTGGAATTAACCATGATTTTCTTCGTCCAAACCGAGCTGAAAATAATGAATCCACTACTGGTGCCCAAAGAAGTTTTACACTGAATGGCCAGTGAACAAAGCTGAACTGTGCCTGAAAAAAAATTTGTATTATAATATTTTAATAAGATGTACTGTCTCCTCATTGTGGCTTTCCAAAATCTTGTATGCATTTATCATTGCCCACATGCTACATGACCCACACATCTCCCAGATTTGATCATCATAATAAAACATGGTGAAGAATACAAACAATGGAGCTCCCCATTTTCAGTTTTCTCTAGTCTCCCATCAAATCATCCCTCTTATGTCAAAACATTCTCCGAAGCACCCCATTCTCAAACACCTACAATCTGGATTTTTTATGGCAAAGTTCACTACTCTAATTCAATTATTAATAATTTCATGTACACTCTCATTCTAAATTTTTCAGTTTGAAAATCTTCCCTAACAAAATTTTTGTGTGGTACCTACGGAATTGATTGAATATATGCTCTAGTTCCTAATAAAAGTTGTCCTTTGTATTATCACATTTATCTCTGGTTGGTGCATGAACATTCAGAACAATAACATTATATTAGTACAATATATGACATGATATATATTATGAACATTTTTGCATAAAGTAATCAGTTTTATATTCCAGCTGCTTTACCTCAAGTATCCAAAGAACATGAGACTTGCTGAATTCCAGAACTGGTGTTGATAAGGTGGCAAAGACAGAAGTCCTTATAGATAAAATACATGTTTATGCAGGTGAACAGATGCTTTATTTCAACTTGTTTGCCACACGGAAACTGAACTGTTCACAAGATATGTTGATGAAGAATTTACAAGCTTCTTGATTGGAAAACATAACAAAGAAATAAGAATAAACATATGTTTAAAAATTGAAATGCATGATAATAAATGTGAATGTGAATGGATGGTAGATGATTCACATAATTATTGCTTAAACTGGAGTACTCACTTGTTGTCTGTAGCTAACACCTCTGTTTTGTAAGTACATAGGAATCGCTGAGCTAAGACCCAGTGGTATGCCTTGTAATACATACAAGAAAAATAAAATTGCAATATTCCATTCATCTCCTTTCATATCACTAATTTCTTCAACTCTTGGCGTTCCTGTTCTATGTGAATCTTCTAATGTTATAGAACTATCACGCACATCCCCTCCTGTACGCTTACGAGTGCTCATGACTTAAAAAATTCGGATCACTCTTCCAAATTACACATACAAAGAAAGGAAACATACGGCATTCAAAACAGTTATGCTATTAGAATAGGTTATGTGTACGTCATGCTTCCAATATTTGTAATGACCTTGACATTCGATTTAAAGTATGAGAGTGATGTATTTGTTTTATTTATTGAATTCAGTATGAAACTTGTTCCTCATTAAGGTAAAAGAAAACTCAATTTTAAAGTAACTTCAAGTGTCATTTGTCATCATATGAATGATTATTCCCACTTAAGTAATTCGAGCCACGTTGACCGACAAGCAGAGTACCCAACAAGAACAACAAGGTTAGAATTCGTTAGCATCATAACACAAAGATAAAACTATTTTGTTACGCTTTCTACAAAGAAATGTAGTTTGGTCTCAGTTTACTGTAAATACGTACTATTTATCTTAAGTCATGGAATAACTATAATGCACACAAATTACATACATTTCACCAACATAATTTGGTAGCACTGAGGCTTATGAGCACGCCCTGGCAAACACACATACTACCATCCGTGATTATCTCCATCTAATAGAGACATCTATTAGACATTGACAGCGAGATTCCTTTATAGTTTTATGGATGGCAGCACCAAAGTTAACCTAATCCAGCAAATTTAATTTTTTAAAAATTGAATACATTTCTACCTTATTGATTTTTTTGGGGGAATGGAACAATTTTGGACACACCCCTTGAGTGCTCCACTTTCAAATTTGTTGCTTTGAACAAAACACACCCCTCAGAAAATATTAGGATAGTCTTAAAAGTGGGTTATAATTGCTTCCTTTTATAATGTTCCCAAACCTTTATTAATTCTTTATCCCGTTATTTATTGATGCTATATAGTATGAGAAACTGACAACACCATTAAATAAATTGTAACTATAACTAACTGACTAGATGGCTGAAGGAACCTGAAGGTTCATCATCGAATTAGCCAAAGCTCTCCACCAGCCCCTGTCGTGGGCAAATTGTAAACATATAAAAACATAAAACACGTTGGCTTCAATGTTTATTTAATTGTAAATATTGTAGAGGAACGTTTATACTTTTTTTACTGCTTCCCATCACTATATATACAATCTCACATATTTTGTTATTGACCCAGTCACTTAAAGTGACATAATTTATAAACTATCTTGATTGGTTAGAAAACTAAAATGGACAGGTAGAGTACATGAAGTTAGGGACAAAATGGATTTTTTTACATAATTTAAGCAACGTTGACAGTGTTATCATAATCCAGTGTTCTGTTGAAGTCATCCAGAGCTTGATGTAAATCAATGTACATGTTTCACATAGATACAGCGTGCTCAATAATTGTTTGTAATTTTAAATTTGGTGTTTGAAAATTACTGAGTTCAAATGATTAGCCCAAACTCTAAAAGATATTCGTTATCTAAAAATAGACAAATAATATATTTTTGTAAATTTGATTTATCTTCCAATACCATTTTTGTTCTGATTTACTAATTATATATATATATATATATAGAACAGTGATGTAATACATAAATTCATGCAGCAAAAAGGAAATAATAATAATAATAATTCAATATCTCTCTGTTGGCTGTCATATTTAAATTCAAATAAATTAGTTAAAGAAGCAGTAGATAAATTCTTACCTCACTTCAAATATTGCCCACTAATGCTACTGGAATACATGCAAAATACAGAAAACACTGAGATGCCTTATGTACAACAATTAAGCATCTTCTAATTATAATTAGTAACTATGCATTTTGGGCATAGAGTGAACTTTTCGCGTGCTATATCAGAATATATGGCAATTGTTTGCGTAGACATAATTAACCGATTATCTTTGTGTATAGAACTGAGTTTTTGGAGTAGTGCGACGTTTAGACTGATAGAAATTAACTGACGTTTCAGGGGTGCTTACTGCTTCCATCATCTCCCTGATAATGTAGGCGGTAGGAACCTATCTGTTGCCATTTATATATGTGAGTCACTTCATTTAAAAACGGCATCTGAATGTTAGTGGATGTGATCAAAATGTAATGTTTTACTAAATGAAATTGTACGTGGTGAACTTACCATGGTGGCCACGCCATATTAAGGTCCTCATTGCATAAACATCTTAAGTTATTTGTTGGCAATGTGTAAAATTTTACTTCCCAATCGAAAGGAAAATGTTTTCTTTGTTTCCAGGGAGAACAAAGTAACAGAATATGAGCAATCGTACATTGCAATTTATGTAATTCTTACAAGATAATATTTCTCTATAGCATTACATCGACGATATAATATTATGCTTATGAATTCGAATATTACGTGTCCGATTGTCATCTGCGGATTTCGAGTAACCTTCTAAATACCAACCCTTGCAAATATGGCTGTATTATTTTATATTTGCCTTGTCGATCTGAAATTTCTTGCTATATAGTTCCGTATATTTACACTAACACAGGCAGGTCCGTATATTTCCATTCAGACCATTACTTTTTCAGTGTTTACTCAACTTGCGGGTAGCCTACGTTAAATAATGCCATTGTAGACGTCAGTCTATTAGATAACAAGACAGACATACGGTCTCCCAGCGTGATATGCAGTTAACAGCAGGATATGGGGAGTCACAGTAAAGGATTGGACAGGATAGCAGTGACTATGATATTTTATTATATACAGAAAACATTCTTAATAACACACAAACAAATTAAGAAACTTGCATAAATCATTAAAGTTTTAAGGTTGTTTCTGAGTTAAATAACTTGTTTTCGGTAAGGAGAACTCAAAGTGTTCATATTTAGTTGGACCACTCCTGTGTTATTCCAGCGAAGTATATACAACTTGCTCTAATTTTTGTTCAACGAGAAAACTAACTTCATGTAACAGAGCCCTTCTTAAGGAGCTGATACTAGTTGAATCACGATATTCCCCGTCTTTTACGGAACAAAAAGTTACATTAAAATTCACAAGATCCTGCTAAAGTCGTCTGTCTTGTACCAGTTGAAACCAGTTCACACTATTTTTGTAAGATTAATTTAAATATTATTTTCCTATTTACGCTGAGAATTCCCCATATTACTTATTGTTAAAAGCAAGCGGTACATATGTTTACTACTTGACTTTGTAGGGATAAACTACAAACTCGTTTATTTTTTTATTTTTTACATTTTTATTTCTCTCTTTTAATATTTTAATGACATATCTTCATCAGAAACTTATGGGCTAAATAAAGGTTAACGACTGAGGAATGATGTCTCATCATACACAGATTTAATGTAATGTTTTTCACACATATCTGAGTACAAGAAAAGGTCTTTGGAAAACGCAGGACAGGCGAGAACCGAAGTACGTCAAGGGACTGCCTTCTCTGACTTTTACATGTCATTAATTTTACTGCCTTATTAAGATTCCGAAGAGACACCGTCAGTCTTCGAAGTCTTGAACTTCCTCCCCCAGATATCTGCCCGACGTCTGCTTAAGTGACGGGTTCCAATGCGATAAAACACAGATATATCGATTTTCACTGTAATTGGTATGAACAGGATGACACTGTAGGCCAGGATGATATTTATTAAGTGTGAGTAGGACGATCAAATGAAGGAATATGAGATGGACGAGACATGTATGTCGCATTGAGGGACGAAACATGAGTGAAACCTGTAGGTAACAGACTGCTTGGAAGACATAGGAGTTGATGAAAAGACAATGTTTAAAGGGATCTTAAGGAAGTAGATAGGAATCTGTGGACTAGATTTATCTGTCTCAGTACAGCGTCCAGTGGTGAGCTGTTTTGGTCATGGTAATTAAACTTCAGTTTCTGTAAAGGGAAATAAATTTATTGACTAGCTGAGCGACTATTATCTTCTCAATAAGGATAGCTGCATGGAGATCGACAAGATTTTATTAGTTGTAACTATTTCTACAATAAACATTTTATCCGGTGTGTCTGTTCTTACTATTATTATAATGTAGAAGCTCTTTTAATATGTAAGTATAAAGTAGGTATCAGATGTTACGTCTGCTCTGGTCTCATAAAATGAACTGCAATCCTAGGCACTGCCTTTCTTTATTCAAGTTCTTCGTTTCGTTTTGAAATAATTCTTCTATTACAATTTTTACATTTAATGTTAAACATTTCTTCTATACGTAATACCGTGTATATAAATTTGTACTGGTAAAAAAAACGATAGCTTTGCTTAGGTTAGGAATGTGACAAAGATTTAGATAAATATTATTGTAGTATTATTACGTAGTGTACATCATGACGTACTTTGAAACTGAGTGTACATACAGTGGAGCACTCGTATGCTTCAGCATCGGTCATGCGGAAATAAAAGAATTATAACAATAGAATATTTATAGAAAGATATCTTCTAAGTTTTGTTGGCAGAGTGTGGAGGGTATGAAAGTCCAGCAACCACGCATAAAATATAATTCTGGGGTAAATATACCTGTTTTGATCTTTCTTTTTCATAAATAGAACACAAATTTCTCGACTGAAACACCTGATATGTTAGTTGAAAGGCTTGAATCTTTGCGTCCCATATCTAATAACGTGACGATTAAAATACGAATACTGTGGGGTTACCTGTTGTTTTGTACAGAGGGTTAATATCATAAGAATACATTGTTATCTCTAAGGTATAATGTCTCATGTAGTGATAGCCTCCTTAAACAAATTATAAATAAATAAGTAATATTATTATCTATGCCTAATCTGATGCACCTCTACTGCCTTGACTGATCGAGACAGTGCACAAGTTAAAACTGTTTCGGTATTTGTTAGTTACGAATTTGAATTTCGTGTTGGGGACCGGTTGTCTTGACTGAGGTCGTCAGACTCATTATTCCCCCTGTCACATTCTGAGTCAGTCCTTAAAATAACCTACTCAATTGAGTTGAGCCCCTCTGAAAAAACTAACAGTTTCTCAGCTAGTCGCATTTTCCCGCCGTTTTGTAAAATCCGTAGTTTTATTTCTAAGAGCTCGCCACAAAACCATTAGCTCAGCCAGTTTACATGCTCAGACAATATTTAAGAACCATTTTAATATTATCCTCCCATTTAAGTATAAGTCTCCCACGTGATATTTTCCTTTCATGTTAACTCCTTTCTACTTGTGGTACGTCAGACGACCGCCTAATCCTTTATGATCTGATTGTCTGGTCATATTTAGCGAGGACTACAAATTATGAAAGCCACTATTATGCAAAGTTCTCCAACGTTGTTACCCCTCTCTCTCAAATGTTCTTCTCTTGGGAAAAGGGACTAAGTTTCACCTCCATACAAACAACAGGTGAGATTATAGTTCTGTGTAGTTTAGACAGTTGCTACTCTGCGGAGAATCGCTTTGGTCTGCGTCACTTGAATATAATAGTGGTTGAAGTAGGATTTTTATTTTTCGAATAGGGCGGAT